CGCGAACAGACCTATTTTGGAACGGCTGCGGCAGTGCTATTGTGACATCATGATGGTTGCCAGTAAAAAGGGAACACACCCTCTATTGCTCCTTTTCGACGCCCATTTCTCCTGCATTGCCTATACCATTGTGTTCACTGCCTCACCGTCCAATGCCTCGCGCATGCGTCAAATCTAACAACACTGATGGGCGGGTCATACCTTTGTGTGTGTACGACGACGTGGCGGTTCGACCACTGCTTGCCGCCGTATCCCTTTTACATACCATAAACAAACTGGAAATGGCATCGCTGCTAATGGCTGTCTGCGCAGAACCATACGAAGTTTGTCTCGATTACGAGCACATCTGTCTTTGTATTTTGTAATTCGTTATGCAGTCGTATGTTTATAACGACAGTTGCAGCTTTTTTACTGTATAAGGATGATATTTCATTTGTGCATTTTTATCATACGACAAATTTTTTAAGTTTGTTGATTGGCTATAAGATAGAGAGATCCGAGGACTTCTCTGTCCTGCACATGTTTGTCGTACTACAAAAATGCATAAATGAAATAGTATCCTAAAGTATCTGCGCAACTGTCGTTATCAAGATTGCGTTCGAAAATATCACCCGAATGCCCCCGCGTATCGTTTTATCTTTGTTGTTCACTCAATGTTAATTAAGGATAAAGTGATACACGGAGACACCTGAGTAATGTTTCTGAATACACCCCAGCATATAAGGGGTACAACTGCAACTAGTGCGGAACGCCTGTGATTGGTTCCGCTTTCGGAAAAAATAAAATAATCGTATTTAGTAATCATTTTAAAACCAAGAACTGTAAAATCACAATTTGAATCACAAAAAATGAAATATTTTAATATTTCTATTAAAGAAACAACTTGTGACTGAAGCAACAACTTGTGACTTGCGACGTCTCCAATATAGAATAACCTTTAGGCTGGAGTTCTATGAGATGTATTTCCCGCGTATCGCGTAACCTCGTAACCGATCTGCTATTGTTGTTTCACGTTTTATTGATTATTGGTTACGCGGTTGCGGGATACGCGGTAAATACACCTCATGGGACTTCAGCCTTATTCTTCCTCAAGACCAAGGACAAGAAGTGTTGCCCAAAAGTATATCAATTTGTTTATGTTACAAACATTAAAAAATCTGTCACAAACATTTTTATTTTTCTTCTTTTCTTTTCATTTTTTTTACTTTTTGACTTTTTCTTTTTTAATCTAGTTAGATCGAGTCGGTAATCTAATTTTGTTATCTATGATTAAACAAAAGACTAAGGTCGATATTTATAATTGATTCTTATATTCAAAACCGTTTTTATATAGTCTTAAAATGTCATGAACCAATCAGAGGGCTGCATTAGCATCTTAAGACACTACTTAAGACGGTCTTGAAATAAGAACTGACTATGATCGAATCTAAAATCTTTAGTTAATCATACTTCTTTCAAATTTCATGGATAGTCAACATTACAAGAATTAACAAGTCTTTTATTTAATATTTCCATACTTTTGCTGACGTTTTTTTAAAATCAATCTTTACACTCTTGCGTTTTTTGCACACAAAAACATGTGTTTTTATCAAAAAAATCAAGACAATCTTTTTTTAATAAAAATTCTGAATTGTTTTTCTCTATCCACACTTACTCTTACCTCTTATATTTTTTATATGAAATTTAATGCTTATTCTTTTAATTATAAATATTTTAAACCTCGTAACAGTAAAAGCTGAATTTTTTACAATAAAATATATAATTAGTATCTTTTTTATCTTTTATTAGTAGGATTAAGATTACTTAACTATTATATTATTTATAATTAAATCTTAAATTTGCATCAGCATTATATATGTTTTATCATTTTTACTTGAATTTTAATATTAATTCATTTTAAAAAGTTAAGTATTTTATAACTTTCATTGTTATTATTTAATATCTTTTTTTTTTATAGAATGTTTTTTATAGAATTTTTGCTCATAATCTTCAGCAATTAATATTAATAATAATAATTTTTTTTTTTAAAGTAATACGATTTAGTATTGGAATATTGAAGACACATATGACAAGTTGACAATGAAAAATCTGATGAGATAAATAATAAATTTACAAAATATATATTTAGTCTAACTAAAAAAAAACTTTTAAAAAATATTTTTTTATTTTTAAAAGTATTTCACAATCAGATATTATTAATAAATCAGATATTATTAATAAACCAATACAAATACTTAAAAGTAATTTACACAGAAAGTCATCTCTTTATACTTATGCATATTAATCAGGAATTCATTGCAGTCAAATAGAGTCGTCTAAAAATTAATACCGTTTAAAAATCCAAGATATTTTTCATTT